AAGACCACAGAAACTGATGTTCATGTGTTCCAACAGTCCACTGGATTAATTTATGACAACTGTCTTCAATGTTCATCACTTTTTAACTCCATGCACGAAGAGACCAATAGTTGCACTTTAGATGGCTGCTGATGGGTTTTTAAGATGCCAGTCCCTACTCTAGTATGATCTAGAACATGTCTTTGTATACTATACTACGTCAACTGACAGTGGTATCCCCTGAGACTATGGTCCTGAGACCCCATGCCCAGCTACTCGTTACCGTGAGGTGTTTGGAAGTGTACAAGAAGTTTTCATCATTTTGTTTCCTGTATGCTCCATCACATTCATAGATATATTTGTAGCAAAGGTAAATACCCATGTACAAGTATTTTATGTTAAATCTTTATATATTTGTGGGCATATTCCCACTCTCCCTTCCACACCCATTCAGTCTGTATATTTGTTCATGGCTCTATTCAAAGATCACTGCTGTTGCAGAGTTAAGTATATAACAATATTTACTTCTATCCCCTTTAACTCTTCCCCTGACTTCCTCATTCTCCATCTAGGCTATCTAACGGAAGATGCCCTTCAACTTTTCTCAGGTAAGAGTATCAAAAGTAAGTAAATAATATAGAAAACTTGTGGCCAGCACTTTTATCATTCCTTACCCTTTTGTTCTTTTCAGGCAGTGTTTCATTCTGCTGTGCATAAAGTTGCTATGAGTTGGTACTGACTTGATGGCACCTAACAACAACAAGCCTTTCCTATTAATGAGCAAGCATGTATTGATGGATTTATTTCAGTTTCATACTTGTACCTCTATTCACAAAGCCTGTATCTTGAATGTAAGATTCATGTTTATTTTCTCTTTCTTAGACTATTATCAAATTTTCCTAAATTACGTCTTTTTATCACACAAAGATTTACTGCACATTGTTTCTTATAGTAATTCTAGAAACAACACAAACCCTTGTCAGTCTCTGTGTAAAAGGCTTCTCTAGGGGCTCAACCCTGCTATGGATCAGACTCTAAACTTCCTGGTATGGCTCACTAGACGGGTCACAAAATGGCTTTGTGACTTTTCTTTGTTCCTCTCTTTTGCGATCCTCTGTGCAGCCAAGGCAGTAATCAAACCAGATGTCTTAAGAATTACTGAACAGGACCAGTTATTATTTGCCTCCGTGCCCTTGCATGGATTTCTCTTTGCTTAGAAAATTCTTTCATTTTCTTTGCCTAATAAATTCTTACTCCTCCTTCAAAAACATTGAGAAGTCTTCTTTGATACCCTCTGTATTTAGATCACCCCTCTTCCCCACCATGATTGTTAAAATCAGCAGTCTTGGTCCTATTAAAGTGAAATTTCTCCTCTTAGTATTTGAATTTTATGTAGTCATCTTCCATTTTGTTTTGATAAATAACCTTGTTGACCATACAGGATTTCAACAACAACAAAATATGCAAGTGCAGAAAGTGTACAAGGGAAGAATGGAAGGACTAATTCGTTCTAATTCCCATGAACCAAAAGGATTCAACCACAACCACCCCACCCCACCAAAGTTAATACAGAAACTTTTGCAGACACTTGAGATACCATTGACTACAGTACAAGTACGGGTCAATGAGCTTGAGGGTTCCTCTGTTTGGAGGCAAGATAATTAATTAGAAGCCAGGAGGTTCTACTTATTTCAACTGCTTCAGAAATCCCTGCTGCCCCAAATTCCAGTGTTTCATTTCCATAAGCATATACATACCTACTCCTTACTTACTGATTATCTCAATATCCAACATGTAACATTTACAACAGCAGCAAAATATCTACTATCTGATCACTTGGCATATTAATGACATACATCTGGCAGTATTGAATGCTGAGGTGCAAGGTGAGAGTAGCAGCGGCAATGAAAGTTAAGGTTTTGTGCTAACTTGAGTGGGTCATGATTTCAAGAATGTAATGATGTGGTTCTGTGGAATAAAGCACTGGACCACTAGGATGGTGGTTCAAACTTACACATCCATTCCTTGGAAACCCTGTACAGGGTCGCTATGAGTTGGAACCAACTCGACGGTACTTAACAACATCAACAATAACGAGGTAATGTGGAAACACGTAATGATGGAATTTCGCAGTTATGTAATGATGTAGTCGCCTTCCATTTAGTGAGCGCCTATGGTCATCCTCCATTTTTGCCTAACAACATGGTCTTTGGAACCTAACCGCAGTGTTACGTGAGTAGTAGGTATACCTGTCTCCTTCAGTATAACCATTGGTTGTACTATCCAATAATATTAAGTTTTAGTTTTTATGGCAATACAAAGATTATGAAGACCAACCTGACTTTGATGACTAATTTTCCTACTCAAATACCCCTTCTGTTGTTGGTCTTCAGTGATGTGGAGTCAGTTCTGACTCACAGCGACCCCATATAAGGTCTTTGAGGATTGTACAACTTCACAGTAGCAGAAATCTCATTTTTCTCCCCCACACAGTGGCTGGCAAGTTCGAATCACTGACCTTGTGGTTTATGGTCCAGTGATTATCGTACTTTCCCTTAAAACCAATGGCTTTGGACACATTCCAAATGTGGGCAGTTTTATTTGGAAATTTTCTTGCATGAAGGTGATTTCATTTCTTTTCACCTTCCATTCATTTCATTTCAAGCAACACAGAACGTAGTTAACCCTATTTTGCAAATGGAGCCTTCACATATATAGAGGGAATTAAATAATTCTCTGAACAAAGGTCTTCTTCCAAATTGAACAGTAACAAGCTTCCTGCACACTCCTCATGTAACATGATTTCTTAATCCTTCCATCAGTTTGTTTGCTCTACTTCCAGGAACATCCAACTGTATGTTGTTATTTCTGTTAAGTCCTTTGAAGTCAGTTTGTCTCATACAGTGACCCTGTATATGTGCCTCTTTATGTTTGGTACTAAAATAGGGTGTGACAAATTTAGGTAGAAAAGCAGTTTAGCAAGTTCATCTAGGTTCTCTTTTCTCTTAATGCAACATAATATGGAATAGGCACTTAGGAGATTGTACCACAGTTCTAGAGTCCTGATGTGGTGCTTTAGAATAGGCACTGGACTGCTAACAGAAAGTCAGTGGTTCAAACCCACCAGGTGCTACAGGGTCACTGTAAGTTGGAACTGACTTGACAGCACTTAACAACAACAACAACAACAAACACCTCTGTTCTATATTGAGTTTATGTTTACATTCAATTCTGACTCCAACATTTTGTAATACATCTCCCATACTCTAAAGGAATTTAGAATCAAGTAAAATATGTACAGAAATGATGCAAAGAATAATAACAAAGGACCAGTCTGACACAATTCTTTCCTGACTGGCTGCTTCAAACAGAAGTGATCCCAAATTACATTTGAATCCAACACTATATATGTTCATACAAAACTTATAAAGGGAATTATGTACAAAGGATGTACAGGAAAAAGTGGAGTTAAGTTGTAAAGATGTAGAAAGAAGTAATGACCCTTTCTAAATTCTTGAAGGTGATTCTAGATTACTGAAATAGTAATTCAAAATTCTATGTGCAGAATACAGCAGCATCTATCAAGGCGTGTCTCAAAAAACACCACTTCTGCGTGATGTTAACAGCTATTAGTGAGGAAAGGAAATACGATACAAAATAAAGTTTATAGGTTTCCTTTCTGTAAGATCGCTCAGTGTCTTAAAGTTGCAAATGTGATTTATGACATCTAATATCTGACAGATGACCAAAATCATCTTGGGAAGTTCTTAGGATTCATAAATTACTGGACTTCACTTTATAGATTCTGATTCAGTAGTCCCAGAATGAGACCCAGTAATGCTTTCTTTGAAATATGTCTCAGGTGGCTCTGAAAATCTAAGATACTGCTTTGGGAACTCCTTGGCATTTGACTGGGGACTTGTTCTGTTTCTTTAATGGAGTATCTTGTGACAGCACTTTTCTCAGACACATACTTCAGGGAACAAAGTGCTAGAAACAAAACTACTTTGTCTAGAAAACAAAAGCATCATGGGGGTCATGCTGAAACTCTGAATGGACAGGAATCCAGAGTTTATTTTTATTCCAAAATGATTTAATAAAAACATAACCATGTTTTCAAAATAACAGAAGCTGCCTAAAATATTCTAAGCATGTCTTCTTCTCTAAGACCGTGTTGAAAATGTATCCTACATATGAAAGGACTTCAAAAAGTCCATGGATATTTTTCAATATCTATTAATTACATTTGTCCATGAATTTTTTGAAGTCCCTCTGGAGTCAGAGTATGGTTTTGCCATGGCATCATTTTCCTGGTAGTAGGAACAATGTAGAATAATCATCCACAGAAGAAGGGACATGTAATGGCAAAGTCTAAAGAGAAACACTTTTTAGTAAGCAAGATACCAAGATGGCGATGAATCTTAGTAGAGTAAAAAACTATAGTTCCATCCTGGCAAGCATAATGTTTATTTGCCATGAAAATTTCAGCAAAATAAGCTATTATTTGTATTCTTTGACTTAAGGATACACTTTAATATTTCACCTCAATAAATTTTGTAATTTGAGGAGGCAAACAGGAAGCACTTAAGAATATAAATTCAAGCCAAGAACAATCAAAACTTGACACCACAGAAAAATGTTACATTACTTTCACAACGTAACTTTGCTCTCCAAAAACACATAGCGCTAGAAGACACATACACCCACTTACAAGCACAGCACACAGACAATCATTCTGGGAACAGCCAGTTACTGTACACTGCGCATTGACTAAATAATGCAATTCATCTAAATTATTACAGCACAAATAATACTTGCCCTCCCTTTCTCATAAATATTCTCTCAAAGGATGGCTTTCTAAAAAGAAAAAAATGAATTTATAAGAATTTCATAAATCCAATGAGAAATAACAATTAAATGCATGGCTGAAATTTTTGTTAAAAATTTAAAAACTACATTTTAAATATATGGATTTTTTCTTGGTGAAAATATGAGCCAAATGCTTTCTTTTTTAAAGGTACCTGTAAAATGTGACTTCCCAAATGTGCTTCAAATACTTCAATGGCTAGTGAGCTGGGACTTCGCCTTCGTTGTGCACCTATAACTTGAAAAAAAAAAAAAAAAAGAAAGAAAGAAAGAAAAGGAAGGGAGGAAGGAGGAAGAAAAGAGACAGAAAAAGAAAAATTAAGTCAAAGCTCAGATTGCACACCTCTATGTTCATTTTAATTACTTAGTTACTATATCAATGTGATTATATAGTAATGTGAAAAATAAAACCACTCAGGGTTTATTTTTATGCTGAATTACCTAAGCATAAACAGCCTAGGATGAATGAACTCAATATAGCCACTTTGAGAAGCATTAAAAAAAACACATGCAGCCCTTTTTTTCTTTTCTTTTTTGTCACTTTGGACTGTTTTTCTGCTATTGAGTCAGAAGAACAAAAATGCTGAGATTTCCATAAAAATTAATTAACAAACTGTTTCTTAAAATTAAGATATTTTCAATATATTTTAATCACATATACATTTCTTTTATTCCCCCCCCCCAGAAAAAACGAAACTTTCCATACACTTTAGCCTATCAAAAAAGTAATAGGAAATTTTGTGTTTCTTTTCTGCTTTATTTGTATTTTTTTAATGCAGTAACTCTATCATAATTTAATAAGCACAACATGTCGGATATAATTAAATTACATAAAGAGATTTTCATTCATGACCATTTGCTCCAGCTCAAGTATCTCAGGATGACCGGATTGAGCTATTACTGAACATTGTTGTTGCTGTTGTTAAGTACCATCAAGTCAGTTTCGACTCATAATGACCCTCTATAGGGTTTTCAAGGAGTGGATGGTAAGATTGAACCGCCGACCTTGCGGTTCAAACCTCCTTTTCAATCTAAAGCATTAACCCACAGCACTACACCAGGACTACACCAGGCCTCCTAGTGAATGTTAACATGTAACTATTTCTACAAAGCTGATGAAAAGACCAGCTAGTCTCTTACTTCCATGCCCCTCCCACAGGTTACTGACTCTTCCTCTCCCATGACACGGCAGACAGTCTGCTTCCTTGCATACCCAGATACTTTGATTCTAGGGACCTCCCACTCCAAAAGCCCCACAATCCTTAACAAAACTGATTCTAGGGACCTCCTGCTCCAAAAGCCCCACAATCCTTAACAAAACTGATTCTAGGGACCTCCCACTCCAAAAGCCCCACAATCCTTAACAAAACTGGACTCAATGCATGATGTTTATGGGATTCAAAATTAAGTCTTTTCTTAATACATTTTTTGCATGCGGTCCTAATTATCTTTTAAATCTATTTTCTGGCTACTTTTCCTTTCTTTCATTTCTTTTTGTATTCTTAAGGTCATAAAAATTGATTTTATTTACAATGATTAATAAAAATATATATTTTTCTATATGTTTAAGAAGTCAGCTCTCCATGTCTGTCTCTTTAAAAACTTTTATTACAACGTATGCCCCCTCAAACCCAGATATCACCAATGAAAATTAAATAAAATGACCCAGCTCTCTTACTTCCCAAAATACTTTTAGCTAGTTGACAATGAAATTCCAGCATAATGCTGGTGGGATAATTCTATTACATTGCAGTCACTGATTCAGTCAGCTGGATCCATAGCTTAGTAAGGATTATAATATAAATGCACTTATGATTATTGTGCCATGGAAAAGGAGGGCATTTGCCCCTGCAACTGAGAGTTAGTGTCTGAAAGACACTTGAAAAATGGCAAGAGTGTTAAGTATTGCTCTTGCTAGGAAGAGAAAGTAAAAGGAGCATTTTTGCGATGGAAAAAATTTATAAATGATAATTGAAGAATGATTATTATTAGAGAAAATTTCAGCTGAAAGGGGTCTTGGAGAGCTCTACTCCAACCTTTTCATTTGTTTCTGAAGCAAAGCATACAACTAGTAATTTTAAGATAGAAAATTCCATTTTCTGAGATTAATCTTTAATATAAGTAAAAGAATAAATTTCAAAGCTTAATAGTCAGATAGACTTAAGACAGTATGTATGTGTGTGTGTGTGTTGATTAATTTCTTATTCTAACATGCACATTACTCCCTTCAAAACTCCTTTGGCAATTTTGATAATGCAGCTGTCTTGCTGAATACTGTTTTCAGTTTCTAGAGTGTTAATTGCACATTATGGTATCTTGGTGCGAATGATCCCACATGAATAAAATCTGCAGTCTTTTTTTTTTTTTTTTAAGATTATGAGATGGGGAGTTTTGGGGCGGGAGAAGGGAGAAGTTGAAAACTTTTAAAGTGCCCACTTTCTGTGTTTGATGCAGTAATTATGTTCCAAAACCTCCTTATTAATAGTTTATAATTTGGGGGCATTTTGGTACTTCCAAAATAAACCATTGCCCCTAACAAAAGAAAAAGGACTAATCTTAGAGAACATAAATGATTGTACACAGCACTGGATTAAGAGGGAGACTCTAAAATATCATAGGAAATATAAAGAGAGTGTTTATTTACTGAAAGGTTTAAGAAGCATGCCCCCCAACCCCAACAACAGATGGTAGCCCAAGTGCCTTTTAGAAGCACAGAAACAGTTAGCTACACTAGGGTGTTGTTGTCAGGGTTATGCAAGCAAGCATGGCCACTGATGGTCTTTCTGCTGCTGCCTTTTCCCCACTCAAGGTTTAGCCATTTCTCTAAATATATGGTACAAATATATAAATAATTAAGAGTTTTATTTAAAGAACTCATTAGTCAGCCTGTGGCTCCCACATGTCTTAATCAGAACTTACATCCATGTGTCCTATGTGTATAGTTATTCTTTGTTCTGCATAGCCTCCAGAAAAGCGAGTGTACATGCCAGTATATGTTAGCATAATACCCAAGTAGCTTGTAGGTAGTTTCATGCTCTTCTATTCACTGGCGTTTTTATGGTATTGGAACTTCTCTTGATTTATATGTTTTGCACTTAGGCAGGTGATGTGGGGCTGTAATGACAGTTCCTAATTTTACAACCAACATAAATATGTTAAACAGGAGCCCATTACGGCCCTGGGAAGAGCCCAGCTTTAGCACTAGTATTATTGGTAACTGAATAGAAATTAAATATGCACTTCTCATCTTAGACTTTTTATCCTGTCATATTTGGCATTTTGAAAATTGAGACAATAATCTAATAACTCAGGAACAATGCAAATATAGTTATTTGCCTCTTCATATTAATTTCATTGAGTTTATAGAGTATCATTCATGTCTAAAGAAGAAAGCAATGGGCATCTCTACAATGAGGTTCATCATCCTCAAAATGGCAACACGTTCCTTAGGAAACTCTCTCAGAGTTCTGTATCTTGGATGTTGACAGTTTCTAAAACTACTTAGTTGCCCAGACACAGTTAAGCACTTACTGCTGAGCAGGTTACTGTTGTGGTTGGGTCGTACCTACTGACACATTCTAGCAATTTCTTCAATGAAAAAAACTACTTTTGAAATTTAAGGGACAGTAATTCATCAAACAATACACAAAGCATTGCTTAATAAATGGACTGTGTGCTCCTTATCACTCACTCACCAACATGAGATGTGAACTGCACTGGCTTATACAAACTGTTAATCCAAAGATCGAACTATAGTCATTCAACTTTAAAATCAGACCCAACAAATACCTACTAAGTGTCTATGAAATACTAAATGTAGCTAGTTATTGATAGGTAGCTAGTATTAGTCTAATGCTTAACTAGTTTTATAAAAAGCAGTCCAGAAGAAAAAGTTACGTATACACAAACCAACCTAGATCCAGTATGTAACAATCAACAAACTCTAGAGCACTGGGATTTCATTGACAACGGAGAGTTTTAATAAGCTTTAAATATAAGACTCAAACAGAGAGAAGGATTTTGTTTTTGTTTTTTTAAATTAACTAAAGAAACTCCAATTGGGAAGTCCCTTTCTGAAAACCAAAAATATATGATGAATCATTTGGACTGTGCCTTTGGCCTCTCTCTCTCATTGTGGAGCAGAAGACCTGGAGGAAACCCCAATCTGAAATATGTTATCTGAAAAATTAGTTTGTCCCTCAACAATGTCAGCAAAAATGTTCTAATCTAGCCTCTTGAGCATAACCTAAAATTGTGGTCTTTGAGAATTAATTCAGAGCAGTAAAAGACAATCACTCTTCGGGGAAATATACCACACACTCCTAGTCATATTCTTAACCTGTGCTTGTCACCTTTGGGGATGCGCATACGTGAAGAAGGCTGAGGATTAGAGCTCAGTGGGAGTTTGACCTATTCAGCCAAAAGGTCAGCTTGCCACAGAAGAACCCATTACAAAACAGAAACAGGACAGCTCAGTGGACACACATAATGAAAGGCAGAAAAGTCATGAGCCTTCCATGCCTTGTGCCCTGCATTGCCCTTTTCCTTGGTAATCAATACTCCTTTGCCCCCATTTCCAGAGCAGATGAAGCCAGCCCAAACCCTTACCAGAACTATTCACAGTAGGAAGGCAAACCATAGACAGGAAGAAACAAAGGGGATCCTTATTTAAGGGATCACTTGGAAAGATAGTATAAAGTGAAGATAACCATGGGACCGAGAGAAAGTTTCCAATGGACAATTTTATTAAGAAAAAAATAATCATCGTCAGATAAAGATTATTTTAAGCTATTTTCTTACTCCCCACGTACCTGCAACTGAGAGGAGCGTGGCTTATGCAGCCTTAAAGTTCCGCAAGTAGTATTTGAAGACTAAAATCATCTGCTAGGGGAAAAGTCAAGCATCAAGCCAGGTTGCCTCTTAAGCTATAACTCCAATGGCTACCCTGTGAAATCTCCATCCAAGGGGCAAGAATCTGTTTCCACACAGAGTTTAGGGAAAGGGAAGGCTGAAGCACTGTGGAATGGAGCTCTCAGACATTTGAACATCACTCCCTTAGCTTTAGCAACTGGACGAAGTAAAGTCAGGGTCTGGGAAACAATGGAGTACAAAATGCTTAAGGACTCTTTTCATGGCTACCACAGAAAAGAACAAAGATTTCCCTTGCAGTCTAAATTAGCCTCCCTCACAGAAGGGCCAAAGAAGCCATAAAAGGTTTCTCCAGGAAACTCAGAGATT